AATGAAAGAAGGGCACGACATACAATGCGTAGACGTGGTTCTGTCTCCTGAAACGCTAAGTGGCTGCTGTTCTCTTCAGATGCTGTGATTGGAACAGTCGCATTGGGACCCATCGTTGCGGCAGCGCGTCGAATGTAGAAGGTCGGGGCACCAGCAGGGACGAGCAGACGTCGAGAGAGAGGAATTGGCGCTATTGTTTTATGATGGTGAATATCGTAGGAGATGTCAACATTTAGGACGCCTTTAAGTATGAGCGAGGAACCGTGAGAAGTGATACCGTGACAAAGGACATTTGGAAACTGCGAGAGAAGCGCAAAGCCGGGAGGGCGTCTTCAAGATAAAGACGAATGCCATTAAACGGTGTATATAAAGGAGTGCCAGACAACGGGAGTGAAAGGCGTGTCCATAAAGGTGATAGCCAAAGCGTGAATAGGGGCATAATCACGCCTCTGTTTGGTCTTGTTAGCTTTGCCTAGCTCTGCATGTTTCTCTCTTCAACCTACTCATTCCGCGTCAATTCAGGACGGCCGACAGTCCGGCGTTACATCGAGGTGTCGTGGCGCTCACAATCACCACGACGTTGCGCTTTAAATAACGCCGAACCGCGTCTCCTTCAGAAACGGCAAGGCGCCTGAAAATCCTGCTGCGAAACATTGTCATCTCACCGACGTGTTATAAACCGCATGCCTGGACCCTACGCTCAAACATCTTCGCACGCTCACTGTTCTCCGTGACGCTCAGCCGAGAGGGCTTACCCCGCCCTTTCCGGCTCTCGAGGTAGGATTGACACCCGAAGACGGATGGCAGTCATTCCTGAATGTCACGGATGCTAGTGCGTTCTCCAATTGGGCGGTAATCAAAAGGGCGCATCATTGGTACGTCGTTTAGAACCTAATGATCTACCCTCTATATCCCTATTCAGCTTGTATATCAAACATCTGGCCTGGATAATATGAAAGTAAAGCGTGCAATCGTTGGACTTCAAGAAATGGTACGTGTGTCCCGGACTTCTGCCTCGGTGTCATTCGCTGATTCTACAAAGGCTCGGGATTGCTGGAACTGTTAGGTTCATCTTGGTCTGGCCTCGTAGATAATGACTCCGGTCTCAGCTTGGAAGGACCTCCACTACGCGGCCGCAGCTGCCAGCAATGCCAACATCAAGCCTCCGAGATATCAATAATGGCGCCGTGTTTCTTTACCCAAGATGATTCATCGTCAGGTGCTGTAGGGAACGAACAGATGGTCTGGGGTAGGATCAGCGGTCACTATAACGTCGCGCCCGACTCGGTCAAGATTTTCAGCAGCTTTGACGTCTGGATGCGCTCGTGAAGTATTACTTGGACTACGACAATTATCCCAATCTAAATGTTCGTTGCCATTCTGTCTTTCCCCAATGTTTTCGCACTTCTAATTTCACCTACCTCCAAGAAGTCATATTCACCGGCCATTCCGCTGGATGCCAAATGGCTCAGAGATCCATGGCGCGCCATAGTTCCATGCATAACAATGACCGTCTGCGTTTCTGGATAGGTAATATACAGGCCAGAGTCGTATTCCTCGTGATGCTCATCGCCACGGTATAGCGACATTACTATGGCTTGCTGCAGACCGCCGGCATGCCAACGCCTCCTGCCCAAATTTCGACGACTACAAGCCATGTGAAGAAGCTGGGGGCGTGCTGTGTTGGTGGATAGTACCCCGCCGATACGCGTTGCCAGGCTCTGGTATGCTTCATCTCGTTACGAAGAGACTCTACCTAATTGAATATGTAGACGCAAGGTTCTACTCACCTTGAGCGCGGGGTTAACTTATTCTCATGCTTAAGGAAATGCGGAGCGAGATGCCGACGCAGACGGCTGTCGATTGGGTAGACGGCGCAGGACATGTCGGTGCAGCGACAATGAGGAGCCTTCAAGGAATCGATACGGTCTGTTCTTGCGATGTTTTTCATCGGTGTCGACTCAAATTTGTTCCAGCTCTTCCGATACAACTCTAACGGAAACCGCGTCATAATAACACTATAGAGTGCCCTTACTTCGAGATGTTCTGGCTTGGGAAATGCTATTGCGACGTTGCGCCGATTCTATTTCACCATGAACTTGGGAGACTTTAGACATCTTGTGAGGCATCATTAATGTTATTCAACAGACTGATTCATTCGTTACATCTTGATTTTAGACGTATTTTGAATAAGGCATGCATCGGTTTCGCTTTTACTAGACGATGACGCGGAAATTATGTCTTGAAGAGACCCGGTATTTGTCGCCATCATGTGTTCTTACTTGGTTCTTACGACAGCAGCCTTCTAAGGCGTCCTGTTGTTCGACTTAGCGCGTAGAGGTCCTCGTTACGAAGCATATTGCCCTTGATTTTATCCCCATGGCACCTGGCGTCAAATTGGCCTTCAGATCATCTGCTTCAGTCAGGTGCTACAAGTCCAGGTTGCGGCGGACTAGCCTCAGAGTACATGTGTACGCCGCCGCTCACTGTTCAGGAAGTACATCTGACCATGACTGCGTGCCTACATGTCCAGCTTCCTCTTAACCGTGTCCCAGCACTTCTCCTTCATAGCCATGAACCCCTCTCTACCAGCACGTTGGAAGACATGGATGTGTCTCACCTATTCAGTTGCACTATGCTACATCCGTACGTTGACCCCATCTCACCTTACATCGATATTAGGTGACAAATTTGAAATCCTCAACGTTTAAAAGGCGAGCGCCCAACCACCATCAAGTTACAAGTTACCACTCTTCGACTCCATGACGACCACAGCCATACTCCACTCCTACTTGTTCGCGGCATCCGCCCATGACTGGGACACAGCGCTGGGGTTGTTCACAGACGACTTTCAGTTGACTCTCTTACCGGCGTCGGCGGGGCATCCTGCTCAGACGAAGTCCCAGTTTGTGAAGACTCTGGAAGGGAGTGTTAAAAAGTGGTTCGCGCCCGGAGCGTTGCAGGTGTGTAAGGTAGTATCTGCGTCATCACGGTTATGCTGATTCGGCGAGTTTTTTTAGCACACAGTTAATGAAGTCTATGAGACCAAATCCGAGGGTACTATTATCGCTCACGTAGGTCTAGTCGCTGTATACGCGCAGACGATGCTGATGAATTTGTCCAGGTGAATTCGGACGGCACGTCGAAGCTGGGGACGCCGTGGCATAACGAATATATGTTGATTGTTGAGGTTCAAGGGAACAAGATTAGGAGGATTACTGAGTTCATGGATAGTGGGTTCATGAAAGGCTTTGTCGACGCGGAGGCGAAAGCAACCAAGGCCTAAAGAGTTCGACCTCTACGAAACGAAGTACTACACATAATCTAGCGACCGTGTTGCAGTACAAAATCATGCGTTGTCAACATTAAAGCTGTCTCTATACTAAGTACTCTGTCCCCTCTTCCATGGGCGCGCTGCCACCATTCCTGAACGAAGCTCTGAACAAGAATGCCCTCCTCTGGCTATAAAGTCAGCTCCATGGAAGGGAACGACCCGAAGAACAACGGACGACCACCGTCGTAACAAATGCAACCATTACAGATACCTTCGACACACGACCATGCAACTTATTTCTGCATTGACGGACGTGCACTGTGCCATCGGTGTATTATCGTCTGAGCTATATGGCGAACGCGCCCGCGGCGATGTTCAGCACGAGGTTGACGTAGGAGAGGGTTCGGAACATCTTGACGGCGAGGGTGATGTTACGGCGGATGGCGCCAACCAAACTACAACTTCATTAGTCTAGGGATATTTGCTAAATGGAAGGCGGGACCCACCAGAATACAGCGATGATGGCGAGGATAGTGTATATGCCTTACAGCCGATTTATACTCGGACTGGATGTCGTCTTGTCCAACGAGACGACCCAGAGAATCCATCGCAGTATGGCCCCTCCTCCTCCGGTTATAATAGCGAAGACGGTTGAACTCTATCAAGAGTCAGTCTCGTGAAACTAGAATGAGGCAAAGGCCTACGATTACTCCAATGCGAAGGGGAAGGCAGAAGCAGAATTGGCGGAATTGCATTTTCGAACGGGAGAGCACAGTAGAGGAGAAAGGAGTAAAAAAGAACAAGGAGGCAAGACGTGGAAAGAGCAAGATGAGAATGGGAAGGTTGACAGTGAATGAGCTGCATCGTCGAACAAGTCGTCCGTTATGCCATGCAGCGGAGCTCCATGTTCATACAGGAACACACCCGAAATGTCCGAAGTCGCCTCTGTGATGATACGGGATGCGCGGAAGCCGGGGTTGGCAGTCTCTCCTCACGTTGACGCGCGAATGTAGCCATGTCCCGCGGCCCGATAGCAGCTCTCAGTCGCCTGACTCGGACGTTGGAGAAGGGGAGCGATGAGCTCTCTAAGCTAAAGGCTAGGGAGCAGCATTAAGAGTCAAACATTCAAAGGAAGGAACGTCCACGTGATGTCTTTGTTTGGTCAAAGCGGCGGAGCCGGCAATCGCGGGTTTTGTTTCTGACTACGATCGACGAACTTGTGTGTTGCTTGTGTGTCCACTTGAGCCTTGGCAGCTATTCATTTGCTGACACTGGTGCATCTATGCCATTATTCTCTCTTCCACTGGTTTCCGAGTCGCACGTTCGTCACAGCGCGCACGAAGCTTGGTATCGCATTGCGCCCCCGTCTACCGATGACCAAGTGGTCTGGTTGATTCTAGATGGAGGCTTGCCAGTAATGAGCATATATATATATTTTTAGATGAGCAGCCTTGACCGGGTCTCTGAATGTCCTCTCTTGGTTATCGATTTTCGCACTCTTCTTCAACTGACGCTCTGATATCCCAGCGGTTATCTTGGCGCATTGATAGTTTGCGAGGTATGCTTGTTTTTATCTCTGGACTCGAACTATGCACGCCAATTCTGTCTTGCTGTTGCTCTACAGGTCTTTGGATGAATATCGAGGCTTTTTTCATGAGAGCTTGATTACAGAGGTCCCAATGTTATGCTCATCGAATCCGACCTCGATCGCGCTAATGACGTCGTCGGGGACATAGCTCAGTTGGGAGAGCAACAGACTGAAGTATAGTTGGGGATACGTGTAATCTTCTGGAGGTCCCCAGTTCAATCCTGGGTGTCCCCATACCAAATTGTATAAGACGATTTTTGCTCTTAACCAACAATCGTCGACTTGTGAATTTTTGATCCGGTCTGACCGCTCAATTTGCTTTTCCTTACCACAACCATGACCGCAAATCGGACCGCCTATCGATGCCTCATGGCGCGCACGGATTGAGGGATATGTAGAAGGGGCAGATCGTGGTGCATGAGACGCGTTAGCAGTGATTGTACGTCCATTTCACACTGATGTCTTGCTCAAGCTCAAGTTCGGCTCCAGGCGTGTCCGTTGTCCAACCTCGTCTTTCTTCCAAAGCAACACCGTCATCCCGCCAGCCATCTGTCCGCCGTCTAGCAGCAAGCCCATGCCCTGCCCGTTTACTTGGATAACCCGTCCTCGTCACACGCCTACAGTGTGGTCTCGTTTTCCTGCGGCGGGCTGGCACCAGCACCGCCAGCGGGCGTGTCTTTTCCCCGCGATCCTGGCTTGCTCAAACGATTCCCATTCGCGAGAACCGGCTGCAAGAAGGCGTTCACCGCGCTCGTCATAGCCTAAACTGCATTTCCTATCACAAATTTTCCCCGTGCATTCGTTTTCAGGTTAGTGCAGCTCGGCCTCCCAACAGAAATCGTTTTGATAACGTTCATAGATGAAAAGCAGCCTCGCTAGAAACTAGGAGTCCTCCCATTTCGCCCTTACTGCCCATACATGGACCAGTGTGCGTTCACGCGCTGACTAGACTGCCGTGTACGCCTTTCAATATCCCGCGACATGCATCCACTAGGCGCATTGCCCCCAGTGCTCCGTCTTCTCCCACAACCAGCTCTGCGTATGAAATTTGGGGGGACATCTTGCCACAGATTAGCGCCCTCGCCATGCTAACAGTACTGGCTTATCACGCAGAGGCGAGGTGCTGTGCTGGCTAGTCTATCCCTCCAAACTCGTTGTGGGTGGATGCATCCCAAATGGCAAAACTTGCCCTTCGTGTTTATCCCACCAGGGACATCCGGATAAGCCTTCGCGCACGATATACCACACCGATCCCCCAGTAGCTTTCGACTTTCCTTTGTCTTCTGCCGTCAGAGCTCCCAATAGATTCGGTTTGTGTTTCGGGTTGACAGATTCCTTGAAAGTTCTCGACGATATAAGGCACACCGCCCAGGACAGACGTACTAACACCATTCCCGCCATCATACAATTTTGCAGGTCTCATTGAACGGGCGACCGGCGGCTTGCTTCAACATTCGCTAATTTGACACACTGTTGAAGCTGGCAGGTTGGCAGCAACATTTGCCATAGTTGCAACGCTACGATTAGGAAAACGACTCTTTTCAGCAAAAGCGTGGCCCATGTCCTCCATTTGCGGGGTCGTGCGGTGGGACTTTTGCATGACGAAGGTGGTCAGCCGATCCCAAGGGCCCACGAATAGCACTAGTCTCCCATGCTATCTTCGGGTGAAGAGCATATATATTGTTGAGTGAGGTGTCTCACATCGAGCTCGCACGAACATGCCAGGACTGACTTCATTTCCACCGTTCCCAGATGACGTGCCGACTCATCCTCTGCTTGTCGTGGATTACCAGCTTGTGAGGTTGGGCGATGAGCATGAGATAGAGAAGCTGTGGAAGGCGGCCACTGAGCTTGGGTTTTGGTAGTAAGTGATATCGAGTTCTACTCAGTGGTGCGTATTGCTCATGTCCCAGGATCAGTCTCAAGAACCACGGAGTGGACGACGAAGTTAGCGAGATGTTTGAGATGGGTCGGGAGACTATAGCCCTTCCGCTCGAAGAGAAGCTGAAATTCGAGCAAGGAGACGATGGTACCTCTTTTGGGTAAGCGGGAAAGGATCCTTCGATCGATACGCACCATATTCCCAGCGCTGTGACTTCTGGCTGCATCTAACACATCGCTCGCAGATACAAGGCCGCAGGCAGCAATACTATCGATCAGGCCGGCACGAGGGACATTACCGAGTTCCTGAACATATCCAAGGACGACGCGCTCGCGTGGCCGATTCCCGTTCACCGGACGTATCCATCTACTGTGAACGAGCGAATGGAGTCGACGGTCGAACCCTTCATACAGAAGTCGCTCGCCATCAACCATCTCCTTATCGATGTCTTGAACGACAAGCTGGGCCTACCGAAGGGGACGCTCGCGAGTCTGCACAAGCCTGGAGAGCATAGTGGGTGTGCGTCTCGATGCATTCGAGCCCCGCCGCATACGGAACTAGAGAGAAAAACGTTCCTGCCTGCGCATACAGACTTTGGATCGCTTGTGAGCGCTGAGACTGAGCGTTTGAAGGCTGTATGAGCTGATTACTCTCGTCAGTCATTTCTCCACAATAGGCTTGGAGGTCTCCAAGTGCTGCCTCCGGGAGCAGAGCGGTGGTACTATATTAAGGTACTTGAGGTTGTTGCGCATCGCCCACATGCGCGCTGATCGTACTAGCCTCTCTCGGGTCACGCCATTTGCAACATTGGAGATGCTCTCAATATCTTCAGTGGCGGTATTCTGCGCTCCAACATCCACCGCGTCGTGTACGTATCAATACAACTCGCACAAGCAATGTCTCATAGGATAGGCCACCTCCCGGAGAGCAAGCTGGACACGAGCGTTGGTCTCTTGTCTTTTTCACTCGCCCAAACGACGTGGTGGAACTCCGTGCGCTCACCGACAAGAGCCAGATGATCGCTGACGCGGTTACCCGCGCTCCTGTTGGGAAATACGAACCGGGCGTAACCGCGAAGGATTGGCTCATACGGCGCGTCAAGACCCGGAGAGCTCGCCATTGGACGGTGCGTGCTCATGCTGGCGAAATGGCTGTGGGTTGATGAAATACCTTTCCTTCGCAGGGACCGGAGAACTGGAATACCCGGGAGGGAACCGAAGATACGCCTCTCCCTCAGCAGTAGACATGCTGTTGACAAGGTCACGCTGCTTCTCCACTGCCGTGCACATCTCATGACATTCGTCAACAGCCCAAGAACTATTCAGAAGTAATACGCATCAAGGCAACGGGCCATCAAAAATCCTAAGAGTTGGGCGTGGGACGCTGCGTTGAGAAATTTAAAAGTACGGCTAGGTCCAATGTTTATTCCATCTATACAATCTCTAGTGCACTTGTGAGCGGCGTATCATTATGTGATATTTCATTTTCCAGCATGCGATGATAATGGTGCTAGGTACGATGGCGAGAAGAATTTCGCTGACGGTTTCTGTTCGAACTTGCAGCGTATCTCTTCTTTGATACAATGATAAGATGTGTAACTACCACTAAATCGCGGTTTTTAGCACAGCATAGGCGAGGGGGTCGTTTGTGAAAAGCTGCCTATCTACTTGAAATCTTTCGCAGAATTTGATTCTGCATAACAAGAAGTAGCCCGTACGCCATCTCAACCCTCGGTATGTCGACTTTGCGCTCCGTGGCCAAGCGAACAACCGACCCCCATATAACCTCAATCTCCATCGGGGAATCCTTCTCGCAATCAAGCAGTGTAGAAGGCTTGTGGAAGCTCCAAGGCTAGGCAACGTAGTTATGGTGTGCAGGCAAGGAAAGGGAACGTTCCGCGTACCGTTGAATGACTTTCCCTCGTGAATTTGATGGCCTCATCCTGCACACTTGCGGGGATACCATCTTCCGAGTCTGGGAATCCCAGGGAGCGCGCTAAATAAATCGATAAGGGTACTTCATGAAATCATGCAGGTCAAACTACTTACCCAGGTCTAATAGTTCCTTGAAGATGGAATGCATCAGGGCGACGGTATGACTCTCGAGCAGAGGCTGCGTCGCCGGGAAAGCGTATGGTTCGTACACTTCCTCGCCGGTCGGTGGTGCTCGAAAGATTGCAGTCAGCGGGAACCTTCGCCATATGCATAGTAAGCTACTATTGCCTAAAAAAATTCAAAGGCCGAGAAGACCTGCCTTGTTAAAAGACAGATGGACGCAAATACGATGTTATACATGTTCTTGTGGAACTTGCGCCTTTGAATCTCCGGAACAACTTCAACGACGCCTCCTCCCCGTACGATAATATCTGCCAGGCCATTCAACACACAAAGCTCGCTTTCAGAATTGGCACTAGTCGTGAAGTCGTCCGGGCGATAAACGCCACAGACGAACTTTTCCTAGAAGACGACTGTCAGTCAATATGGCTTCTAATTATGTTTTCGACGAGCTTGCCGTTTGGTCATGCTCCACGACATTCGGAGAGCTTTGGTTCGTCAATATGAACACAGCAACACTGATAATCCTTGGGATGTGTCCTATGCTCTTGATCGCATCGTACAACTCGCGTTCAATCTGCAATCCATTCTGCAAGAGGACATACGTCGGCTGTGCGAATGCTTCCGCGTATGAAGGCAGAAGGAACGGCTCCAGCAGCTTCGAAGTCGTGATGACCTCTGGTACGCATTTTGTCACGACAAGAACGTAGTCATACGTCGTATCCGCAGCCTCAGACACAGATGAACACACTGCGAGGATGCGAGAGAAGAATCAGCGTCAATGAAGACACGGACACCGCTAACTCACGTCTATCAGGCTGGAAACCGACGTGATCGCCGAACTTGCGACTCTTGATGTTTAGGCCATGTTCTGCCGGGTATTTAAAGAGTGACAAGGAAACAGGGCATGAAAGTACCCTTTACCACAGCATAGTTACTTCGAGCGACCACCGTAACGTGGGCTAATCCAGACGATTTGATAATTAGCGCGTCTAGTTGCGAAACCGGGTCAGGTCACAGGGGAGCACTAATCTGGCAGAGAACTCACACATAGTACCAACTGCGCCGAGCCCGATGATGAGAATCTTCTTCTTTTCTGACATGGCTGGCTAGGTTGACAATGTTTTAAGGCGAACGATGAGATGGTGGTTGTTTATCAAAAGTCGGTGCGATTAGTCATTGGACAAATTCCGCCCAGGCTTATCTACCCTCAGGTTCACCGCTCTACAACTGCCGCATTGACTGTGTATACGTGAAGCTCGCACAACACCCGAAGGGCGACTGACTGACCGACGTTG